CAAATAGTGGCCCAGTTCCTAAAAAATCCAAGGAGGCCCAAAGGCTCACAATGACCCAAACTCAGAAAGGCTAGTGGCCCAATAAAACTCAAAACCCTAATAGTCCAAATATGGTCCAAACCACAAAAGTTAAACGACTGAGTACGCCCAGCGTACTCAACCTATGCCCAACATACTCCTCCTTTGGCCAGTACGCACGGCGTGCCAACCGGGTACGGCCAACGTACTTTACAACATCCCAATCTTGCCATTAAGTGCTTAAATGGTTAAGCCACTAAGTCCACTTCTCAGATCTGATCCTAAATAATGTCTTACACATAAAGTTGGCAACTTTACTCCTTTGCATGTCTTAATGGGACCCAATACTTGTTTTTATCCATCTATATGCATAATATGAACACCAACTCTCACATGGTTCATTCAAACTCATCAAGATGAAACTTTTATGCACTAACAACTTCAGAAATGCTAGGATCCAACATTCTAAGCTCTTGGAGTAGCCCATACTCACAAGGATGACTCAAAGGGCCATAATATGCCCAAAACAATCCCTAGACTAGATCAAGCATAAAGAGTTACCAAGATAGAAACTTTATACCTTCAAATCCTAGCAAAATGAATGAAGACTCTGGATCTAAGAGCTCCACCCCAACCAATGCTTGAACACCAAGCTCCTTCTTCTTCAAAGTGAGCAAAAACACCAAAAGTTAACCAACAAAGCTCAAGAACACTCAAGAACAAGCTAGGGTTTCGTTTTAGGGTTAAGGTTGATTGAGGCTGAAGATAATAGGGTTTGAACATAAGTTAAGGCCTTTAAATAGGCTCCAAGACCCTAAATTAGGGTTTATACCTGACTAGAGTACGCCATGTGTACTCCTGGTACGCCTAACATACTCCATGTTGCACCCGCGATCACCTAACCTAGCACGCCCGGCGTACTCCCTGTATGCCCAACATACTAGACTTAGCCTTAAAACCTCCAAACTTCCGAAGGCCATAACTTCTTCGTTCTGAGTCCGATTTCGACAATCCTTATATCCACAGAAAGGTAATAAGAAGCTTTACAATCATATCAACTCTCTTTTGCCATAAAACTTTCCGAACTTAAATCTAAAATTCTTAAAAGGTCCGCACCATCACTTTACTTATATGCCCTTGGGCTCCCAAAACACAAACCGAACATTCGGTACCCACAACCTACATTATCCATCACCAAATACGTCTAAAACTCTCTTTCCTAAAGCCCGAAGCCTTGTGATACTTGATCCTCGGGTCACGACCCCAAATTATGAAACGAACCGAAACAGGGTGTTACACAATAACAAATAACCAGCTAGCACAGGTAATCATATAGATCTACCAATATAACAAATCACTACATCATAGCAACATCCTATACACAAGGATACATAACACAATCTAGTGGGTCGACATTGGTTCCTTCGACCCACGAGTACAGTGAGGAAAACTCACCTCAAAATCAAGCAGATAATATAATAGCTCCCTCCCGGGATCAAAGCCGACACCACAAGTCACCTATAAGACAGAAGGAACTCAACCTCAGCCTAAATTCCAAACTCACAAGTTGACTAAAAAGTCAACTAAGTCAGAAAGTTAAAAATTAAACCCCTCATGGTCAACAGTCAATTCAACAACCTAAAAACCCTAATCAGTGAGTCGCTACATTGTGGCCATGCATCGGCCACGCCGTGACACCGTAAGGACAAAACAGTTGGGTCCTTACCCAGTCGCCACGTCGTGGCAGCCTAAGGCCACGCCGTGGGGATTAGTCTAAACAACTTAACATATTAAGCTATTTTCCAACATTTCCAAGAGCTCCAAAGCTTGGATCTGGTCATTCCCACGGTCTTGATGGATAAAGTTTCCAACTTTATCCATTAATACATCTAAATAAGTCAATATCTCAAACCATAAGTCCTTAAAGGCAACTCAAGCCATGCAAACACCCATTAAGCACTTAATCATTAGAGTTACTCCTCCAAATTTTCCAGAAGGATTCCTACACCTAATAGACCATAAACATCGTAGCTTTATGGACATGCATGTCCTTTCTATTTTAGGTCAAAAACATGGCAAATATGCAATCTAAGCTTGTGCAAGGGACCAAAACTCCAAGGATCCTCAGATCTGGAAAATATAACACTAAAATGACCACAAGGATCCATAAAGTTGCCAATTTTATTGAATCCAACCTTCCAAACTTCTAACCCATGAAGATTAAGGGACAAAAATACCTAGATCTAGAAGCAAGTAACAAAAGGTTGGATCTTGGACACTTACAAAGGTCCATAGAATGCACAAGGGAGAGATGATGAGGCTTGCTTTCTAAATCCACACTCTAAAGCACCTTCTTCTTCTTCTTCTTCTTCAAGCTACCAATAGCACCAAAAGAACCAAAAATCACAAAGAGAGGCTAGGGTTAGAGTTTCTGAGTCTAGAGAGTGATGGAGGTTGGGGATGAGCAAACCCTAGCCCTCGCTTTCCTTTAAATGGGCTCAAACCCTAAATATTAGGGTTTTAGTCATCAGGCGGCCGCCACGCCATGGCCAGAATACTGGCACATCGTGGGGACCAAAACAGGAAACGCATTAAATATAGCTTGGTCACGTTGTGGTGGTGCTTCCACCATGTCGTGACAACCCCAAAAATCGTAATTCTCTTAATTAAAATATACCTCAATGTCTGGATGTTACATAAATACCATTTTAGATGAAAATTTCCAAAGGAAAACAAACTATCAGGCACAATTCTATGATGTTATTACCTTAATTTTGTTTACAAATTGAATGGCCTCTTCAAACCCCACATGCTTCTTAGCATGTGGCTCATCCTCTCGTCAGCGCGTGATTTGGAATCCCTTTAGAAGAAAAGTGTTGAAACCTAATATTAGTTTTATGTGTCCTTTGAACAGTTCCTTCACCCTTGCAATGGCCCCTGTGGTACCAACCCTACAAAAAATAGTGATTATAACTGATCATGAAAAAACTTGAACAATTAGATGCCATGAACATATCTTCAGGAAATAAGAATTGACAACAATCTTACTTTTTTCAACCCTAAGTAATTACTTCAATTGTGTAGCAAATTTCAAACATATCTACTGATGATTACTATAAAAATAAATTATTGATCGAAACTTTTACCATTAAGAAATTAAAATTGAAAAACAAACTACAGACCACAATTTTACTATAAAAAATAACATCAGAAACCTCCACATAGACCTCATAATTAAATATTATCCCACACAATGTTATCTCTAAAGTCGAATAATGTAAGGCACAATAAAAATTTGAGACTTACGGTTATAAGATGATAAGTGGCTTGAGTTGAAAAGCAATCCCAAAAACCTCGTCGTCTGTAGACCTCTTCAGCCCTGTAAATAGTAGAATTAAGCATCAATCTAGAAATCTAATCCATCTTACATAATTTTCATCTATCTCAAACTAAAAAATTGAATTCCTAAGTTTATCTGAAAGAAGATGTGGGTTTCCAAATCAATACCAAAATGTGGATCTTGCGATAAATTAGATACGCAACTTAAAAAAACGAACATACTTTATTTCCGTCACAACGGAAAAGACGCCGACGATGAAGGGTGGAATGAGAAGAAGTTTAGGAAAAGAAACACTGGGAGAATATACGAAGGCATGAAAAAGAAGAGACTTGGAATTTGGACGAAGACGGTGTAATGAAGCAAAGTTTTGGTGAATCGAATGAGCCAATGTATTTTGATTTCTACAAAACAAAGCGGTACATTCAGTGGCGATGAATCATCGGAAGTGGGTGTGAGAAACCGAAGATTGAGCTGTTGCGCGTATCAGAGCCGATCTATCCTACATCTTCATTCTTATAAATCTCTAGTCGACTCCTCCTCTTCAGGAAATTAGGGCTCAAATTCGAGATGCCAACCCCTCCTTCTTCGATCAATCTAACAACCTCCCTCTTTTTGTTTTGAGGGCGTAGACGGTGGCAGGAGGACTATGAGTAAAATCAAACCAAAAAACGAATGAATAGAATGGATAAGGTCAGTGGCACCGGACGGAAGTCAAAAGCAAAGGCAAGTCGACGAAGCAAATGAGTAGCCGACAAAGGGAGCCAGGAAAACCAGTCGACTAAAGAAAATCGGATGAGCCGCAGGAAAATCAGATTAGCCATGGTTTGAAACTTGTTACTGTTCCTAAGCATGTTCATAATTAATTGTATATAGAATATATAATAATTAATTGTATATATAATATATAATAGAAGCCACATATTACAATAAGGTCACTTTATGCTTAATATTTTATTATATTATTAAAAATTAAATAAATTTGAGGTAACTAATTTGGAGTCTAATGGGTAGTCAAGATGGAGCTACCCGACCTCGCCAATGAAAAAACTGAATGGGTAAAATCCGCCTTCGTCCTCGAAAACATTTTAAAAATACCCCTTATTTGGGAAGAGTGTCCACTACTAGAAAAAAGGCTTTCCTTAACAGACATTGTCCGTCGTAAATGCCTATACATGACAGACAAATGTCTGTCATTGAAAGCCATGTCATAAAGGATAATGACAGACATTTGGCCTGTCATAAATTTTACGACAGCCATTATTGACCCACAATTAAGACATACATACATGACACACGTTTTCGACATACATTTACGATTGACTTTGTATGTCATAATTCGTAACATTCTTGTAATTATGACAGACATTTATGACATTCTATATGACATGATTTTTGACATAGTTTTACGACATATTTTGTATGTGATGGTTATATATATATATATATATATATATATATATATATATATATATATATATATATATATATATATATATATTCTAAATTTGTACCAAATATTAAACAAACTAAATTACACATTTAATGTCTAATAATGCAAAATAAGATATCGTACATATAAAAAAATACATTCCATTACACTAACCATAATGTCAAAAGGTTCTCTTACAATTTTGGTTTTCATTTAAAGTTTTTGTAAGGTTTTGGTTCCGTCGGAATCATTGATTCCAATTTTGTCGTAATCGCTGATTCTGGTTCCACCTTCAGATATAATTAAATTCCGTTTATTTCGCAGCAGAATGGAATCACAGATTCTGATTCCATCGGAATCACTGATTCCAATTCTGTCGGAATCATTGATTCTGGTTCCACCTTCAGATAGAATTAAACTCCATTTATTTGACATCGGAATGGTATCACATATTCCAATTCCGTCGGAATCACGAATTCCGATTCCATCGGAATCACAGATTCCAGCACCACCCTCATACCTTTCGTATTCTTGTTGATTGTGATAAGCATGGTTTAGCAACGTGTGACCACTTTCCACAAGATCCCTCCTGATATGCACCAGATTGATAGCTTTTGCTAAGTCCTCCAAAACACAAGCTTCCAAACCCCGCAACTTCAAACAGAATTCCATCGATTCCAACACCAATGCTAAGCCGGCATCCGAAACTTCCAACCCTAAAATTAACCAAGGGTATTTTAGTAATTTTACATCACTCTAACACACACAAAACACACACATACACACACATCTGCAGGATATTGAAGGGCAGCAGAAACACGACAAATAGAAGGAATAGCAGAGGGGTCTCGGGCACCAGCTCGGGCAGTCAAAAGTTCAGCATTCTTTTCTGCAGCAATGACAGCATCAGGTCCAGTAGATGCCACCCATTGACTCCAACAATGCTTGTGGGGTTGATGGAAGCTAATGGTTGTTGACTCCAAAATGCAGCAGCATCCTACAACATTGTCAAAAAGACATAAATACCCTCATCATGGAAAAGTAAAACTTAAAACTCATCTTACATTTTTTGCTTTAAGTAGAGCACTGTAGATGGATTTGAGCTCTAATCTTCGAGCATCAAACTCTTCCATTTTCATCCATTTTTTCCTTAAGCTTCTTTTTTTTCTTCACATAACATGTTTAATCGTTGTACTTTAGACATTAATGTTGTCAAACTTGCTTTCAATCCAGAAGCTTCTCTTTCTTTCTCCCAAACCTCCAGCTGTATAAAACAAATGGATAAAATAACAAATTAAAATAAAATAAATATAGCTATTAATACTACCTCTAATAGTCTGAGACTACTCATGGTTTGTGAGGTTTCTCCAACATTAAGAGAATGTGAAGGGTCAAAGTCAACACTTCTAGCTTTTAACACATGCTTCTAGCTTCTGCAGCTTTATTGAGTTCATCTTCTGCAGCAACAAATTATTGAACATGTGCTTTCTGTAAACAAAAAGATGGATTTCATTATAAAGAAGTGAAAAGATGAGAGTAGTTTAAGGAAGAGAGAAAGATTAATACCTTTCGTTCAAGAAGTTGATTTTGAGTTCCTTTTAAAGGCATATCAACTCCAAGTTTCCCATTTCCATAAACTTGAAAGGGGAATGGTGAGTTTACATCAGGAGAAGAATCATGCATTACTCTTTTGTTTTCATATTTATATCTTAACATATTTGCATCAGCTCTATTGTCAATTTTCTCTATTTCTTTTGTCATTAATGATTTCAACCTGTGTATGTAACTGGTTATGACAAGAAGTAAGTGCTGAGGGATTTTCAAACAATTCACAATTATATCTTGCACTTCATTGGGTATATCTCCATCAACATCGACACCTAATTTTGCAGCTTCCATTTGAGGATTTAGATGGATACCATTTCCTTCGTATGCAGGAAAAGATGAGAGAATCTTGTCAATCATTTGTATTACTAGAGATTCACATGCCTTGCGTATGTTTCTTTCCCTGTTTGTTTCAATTAGAATTACATCGTCTGTAGGTTTTGACCCTTTTACAGTGGAATAAACGTCTTCTTTTTTGTTGTTCGTTTGGAAACTTGTGACAACTTCCATGGAAGAATCTGCGTCTAGACTCTTGAGCATTCTTGACTTGATTAACATAGAGGCGAAATCGCTTATGGTATTCAGAAAATATCATCGCTGCTTCATCACATTGTTGATCATAAGCATCCAACATCACATGTTTGTGCCTGGAATAAGAATGATAATAAATGTGTGTTGTTTGAACTATAGAATGTTCAAACATAACTCGATGGTTTTGGATCCCAAACCTGTAATTCAAACATAATATCCTATCGGGATCTCTCACATAATCCTATAAATGGTTTTAAAGCTAACAAATAATGTTAAAAGTATTTTATGAGCAAGATTAACATTGAAGAAGAGTTTCTGTATTGGGTTGAAATTGTAAATATGAAGAAAGGTAATAAAGAGAGTTTAGGAGATTTTAGTATTGGGTGTATTGTGTATTGTTTTAATAAGTGCAGGTACTGGGGCTCGTTTATCTAAAAGTAGGAAAGCACGTGGATCCTTGATACTGGGTTTGGGTCAGTTATATCTCGGGTTTGGTTTATGGGTTGAACCGGAGGTATAAATGCATCTCAGCTGTGTTAGAGTGGTTCAGATCAATGTTCAGCTTACACACACTCACTATAGTCTCTCTGATCTTTTGTCTTCGTCTTCTTCAGATTAGGGTTTTAATCGAGTCTAGAGTTCTTTGTTCTAGTTAGTTTTTGTTCAACAAAACTCTGTAATTGTTCTTGTGTTATTCTGTTTGAGTGTGAGTGTTATGTAGTGAGTTTTAAGTTGTAAGTTCTTGAAAACCAACTGGATCTTGTTTTTGTTAATAAAAGATCTGTTGATGTTGTGAATAGATCTGTTGATTGTGTTTTTATCATGGTATCAGAGCGGGTTTATTCCTGCGTCGTTTCTTGTTTGATTTCTCGGTTTTGAGTTAGGGTTTTCAAATCCCTTTTTTGGTTCTTGAGTTTTCTTGGTAGTTTTGTGTTCTCCATTCGATCGATTGTTTCGATTCTTTTTCTTAAGGTGGCTTTCACATTCGTCATCAAAAATGAAGGTGTAAACTCACTCAGACATCGTCAATCTTAAGAGTAAACGATCGCTTGACTGTAAACGTTTAGATTTAACTCCTCGTTGTCTAACGGCCAACGTCAAGCGACGTTCAACATTAAGATTGCAAACGGTGCAATCTGAGGTGTTTGGTGGTTTCTGGCATTTGAATGCCTGTCTGCATCAGTGTTAGACTCTATTTTGTATAGATCTAACGGTAAACTACATTGCGGCTTGCAGAGCGTTTTTTGAGGATTTCTGTAAGTTTTCGCACGCTTGCCTTCTGTTGTTTGTTCAGGTTGTTTTCTTGGGTGCTTCTGTGTTATTGTATTGTTCTCTTGTTGTGTTGTGACTCTTACAGTTTATTGATATCGAGATTGGGGTCTTGTGGTTATACTAGCTTGTCTGCTTCTTGAAAGGAGGTCAGAATCTGGTTTAGTATAATTACTTTTTAAGAGAACACGGGTTTGATATTGTGTAAACTATATCAGTCATGGTTGGGGAAGCTCCTTCTGCTTCTGGTTCTAAAAGTCCAGAACATTATGATTTTGATGATCCATTATTTTTACATCCATCTGATAATGGTGTTGTCTCTGTTATTAGTTTCAAATTGACTCGTACTGAGAATTTTAGAATATGGAAAATTTCAATGACTAGGGCTTTGAAAGGTAGAAATAAGTTAGGATTTGTTGATAAAACTTTTCCTAAACCTAGTGAGGATGAAACTAAAATTCATAAGTGGGAACGTGTTAATGCTGTTGTGAGTTCTTGGATTCTTGGTTCTATTTCTGAGTCTTTATATGCTAATCATGCCTGTAGTGATAATGCATTTGATATTTGGTCTGAGTTGAGTGAAACTTACTCTAAGGCTGATGGTTCTGTTGTTTTTAATGTTCATCAAAAGATAAATTCTCTTACTCAGAGTGGTTTGTTTGTCTCTGAGTATTACAGTAAGCTTGATGCTTTGTGGAAAGAATTTGATGGGTTAGTTAACCTGTCTGAATGTACTTGTAAGGCTTCAACTGATTTTGTTAATCATTCAAAATTAATGAAGCTTATGCAGTTCTTGTCTGGTTTAGATGATACATTCAATCAAGTTAAAAGCCATATTTTGTTAATGGAACCTCTTCCTAATGTGAAAACTGTTTTTTCTATTAATTCTCGTGAAGAATCACATCAAAAGGGAGGTTCTGTTTCTCAAACTTCCACTAAGTCTCAAGCTACTGCTTTTGTTGGTAAATTTAATGATCAAAAACGGAATAAGTCACGTGGAAACTCTAATCTTCAATGTAAAAATTGTGGTCTTAAGGGACATACTATTGAAAGGTGTTATAAGCTCATTGGTTTTCCTAAAGATTTTAAATTTAAAAATGAATCTCATAATTCTAATAAAACAATCTCTTCTAATAATTCATTTTCTTCTGATGTTAATGGCTCTTTTGATTTGGATGTTAAATCTAACAATTCGTCTGAAAAGTTTTTTCTCACAAGTGAGCAATATAACAAGTTTCTCAGTCTCATTAATGAGAAACCTTCAACAGGTGAAGTGTCTGCGAATATGGCAGGTATTTGTTGTAACTCTTTTGTGTCTACTAATAATAAGTGGATTGTTGATTCTGGTGCAAACCATCATATGACCAAAACCGATTTTAAGCTAAATAACATTGTTGATGTTTCAAAACTTGATCTTAGAGTGGATCATCCTAAGGGATCTTCTGCTAGGATTAATAAAATTGGAAATATGAGACTGTCTAATTCAGTTGTTTTGTCTGATGCTTTTGTTATTCCTGAATTTAATGTGAACTTACTTTTTGTTCATCAACTTTGTAAGGATAATAAGTGTCAGCTTGTTTTTGATGAATTTAAATGTGCTGTTCAGGATTCACAGTCCAAGGTGACTGTGGGGACTAGTAATGAATCAGGAGGGTTGTATTATCTTGAGGATTCTTACTCTTCAGGTAATATGGCTTCTTTAAGTAGGATTGATTGTTATGTTTCTAAAGTAACTTGGCATAATAGGTTGGGTCATCCTGCTATCCAATCTTTAAATTCTCTTAAACATGTTTTGTCTTTTAGGACTGACTCTCTTCCTCCTTGTGATGTTTGTCACAAGGCTAAGCAATCTAGAAATTCTTTTCAATTGAGTGAACATAAGAGTACTTCTTTAGGTGATTTAGTGCATATAGATGTTTGGGGTCCCTATAGGGTTGCTACCACAGATGGTTTTAAATACTTTCTAACTATTGTGGATGATTTCACCAGAGGTGTTTGGGTATATTTGCTAAGGTCCAAAACTGAAGTTTTTTATTGGTTTTCTATGTTTTATAATTTTTTGAAAAATCACTTTAATTCTAGTCTTAAAGTTGTTAGATCCGATAATGGTACTGAGTTTGTTAACTCTCAGTTTAAAGATTTTTTTGATAAAAATGGTATTTCACATCAAACCACTTGTACTTATACTCCATAACAAAATGGTGTTGTGGAAAGAAAGCATCGAAATCTCTTAAATGTTGCCAGATCTCTTTTGTTTCAATCTGGTTTGCCTCTTAAATTTTGGGGTGAATCAATTTTAACTGCTGTGTTTTTGATAAATAGACTTCCTACTTCAGTCTTAAAAGGGAAGTCTCCTTTTGAAATGATTTACAAGTGTTTACCTAAATTTGAGAATTTGAGAGTGTTTGGTTGTTTATGTTTCTCTGTTAAACAGAATGTATCAGATAAGTTTGTTGAAAGATCTGAAAAATGTGTTTTTGTTGGTTATTCTAATGAAAAGAAAGGTTATAAGTTGTATAGTCTTGATAGTTCTTCTGTTTTCTTTTCCAGGGATGTAGTGTTTTATGAGGATGTGTTTCCATTTAAAATGAAGAAGGATTTGATTAATGAAAATTTGTTTTCATTTTTTAATGACTCTGTTGTTAATGACCCTGTACCATCCAGTCCCTATGATGAAATTCTTCAATCATCCTATATGGATGAAGTTCCTGAGTTTGAAACTCCTGAGATTAGCCACCAGACTGATGACACTGGTGCAGCTATTTCTTCTGATGTTGCTATTGATAGTAGCCAGGATGGCTTGGCACAAGCATCTCAGTCTCAAGAGGCTGATCCAGGTGTTTCTGATTTTTCTGAGGGAAATAGTTTGGAAAGACTTGAACCATCTGGTAGTAGTTCTGTTAGAAGGTCCGATAGAGAGTCTAGAATGCCTCTTAGATTTAGTGACTATATTGTTGAAGGTAAATATAAATATGGTATTGAGAAAACTATAAACTATGCAAAGTTAAGTCCTGAAAATTTTTGTTTTGTTTCAAATTTAAATAAAACTGTTGAGCCTAGGAATTTTTTTAGGCTTCCACTGATTCAAATTGGATAACTGCAATGAATGAGGAAATGGAAGCTTTATATCGAAATAAAACTTGGGAAATTACTGATTTACCCTCTGATCGTAAACCCATTGGGTGTAAGTGGGTGTATAAAAATTAAATACAAGGCTAATGGTGAGGTACAAAGGTATAAAGCTAGACTTGTAGCTAAAGGATATAGTCAAAAGGAAGGTATAGACTATGAGGAGACTTTCTCTCCTGTGGCAAAGATGGTTACTGTTAGGGTTGTTGTTTCTTTAGCTGTTAATTTTTCTTGGAAATTGTTTCAACTTGATGTTAATAATGCCTTTCTTTATGGAAATCTTGATGAGGATGTCTATATGACTCTTCCTCAAGGGTATCATACTCCTGGTGATACTCGTGTTTGTAAATTGTTAAAATCATTATATGGCTTGAAGCAGGCTCCTAGGAAGTGGAATGAAAAACTTTTTTCTTCTTTATTTGAGTTTGGTTTTGTTCAAAGCATAAATGATTATTCATTATTTGTTAAAAATAAAGACAGTACTATTGTTATTCTGCTTGTATATGTTGATGATATTGTTATAACAGGAAATTGTGAGGTTGAAATTACTAAAGTAAAAGATTTTTTAAAATCTAAATACTTGATTAAAGATTTAGGGAAGCTAAAGTTTT